AAATAGGTCGAATTAAAACGAGGCGGGCACCACTTCTAAGGTTCTAAGATAGTCAAGGGAGGTCCCTAAGGCTAGATCCTAAACCCTAAGAGGAAGACTAGACCTCACTAAAAATGAGGTCAACATAGACTTCACCCTTGCAGAAGATGATCAGCTCCAAATCCCGCCAGAAGCATTCGAAATCCATTTGGGATAGTCCAAACCAAAACTATAAATGGAAACACAGGATGCTCACACACGAGATGATGAAGGTGCATCTAGGATGACAACATTGAGAGAACAAATAGCGGATGACATTTTTCATTCTTAATTGAACCTGTATTATTAATTTAAGAACTCAATTGTATCATGAATATTTTTGGATTTGAAACATTCATGTGATTTTTTTTTCTTTATTTTGTGTTTGAGTTATTTATGTTTTTTTTTTTGGCGGGCTTATGAGCTACTTGATGAGACCTTGGACCTTATGGGTTATTCTGGATGACATATTGTTCTTTGTTGGTTAGTGTTACATGTGAAATGCCAATGAATGCAACCGAGTAGCTTTCTTTTTCTCGGTGCATCAGCTTATGAGTCGTTTCTGGATTCTTTTTTGTGTATATGCACAATGATGGAAATCAAATTCCTCTGTTCTTTTCGGTGCAACAGTTTTTTGGGCTACCCTAGATAACCTTTTTTGGTGATATGCACATGTGACACATGGGAGACTGGTTCTATGTGAACTAAAGACAATCAAGAACTCATTTCCTTACAAGGTCAATCGCCGTATTGTAGTGACAAATTCGTTTGTTGGTGTGGTGAGTTCTCTGTCATCACACCTGCTATTTTTTTGTTAATTAGATTTTTGATTCTTTATTCAATATTGTTTCTTATTTTTAATTTCCATGTTATTTGCTTTTTTTCTTTTCATTTGAGCTTTATTTGTTTTTTTATGGGCTTATGAAGTACATTACTCAATACTATTTCTTATTTTCAATTTTTTTTTTACTGTTTTGAAGCAGTTTTTTTGGTTTTAAACTATCAAATATTTAGTCATAATAATTCTGTTGCAAACAACACAACTGCACAGTGACAACATGGTCATTTATTCAGAAATAACTGCAAATCAACTGCTTTCCAAATATTTTCAGATCAGAGACAAAATGATTATTCATTCAGAAATAACTGTAAATTAGTAGTTTTCTAAAAAACATAAACCAAACAGCCAGTCAGCTTATCCGGATTAGCTGCTGACAGCTTATCAGCTGCTTATCAGGATAAGCTGCTTATCAGGATAAACTGCTTATCAGGATAAGCTGCAGCTGTACCAAAAAAACTCTTTTGCTAAAATAGTAGAGGGAGATCTAAAAAGACTTGAGCATGTTATGTAAAAAATGTTATTAATTTATTAAAATTAAATGACAATATGACTCTCAATAGAACAAAATAGAGTAAAAAGGTTTCATGTAACCGATCCCATTTACTAGGATAAAGTTTTGTTGTTGATGGTATTGTTCTGCAAATATACTCATGCTTTCTTATATTGTTAATTTTTCAATGTATTCTCTTGTTTACCTTTTTCTAGAAGAAATTTCAAATTTTGTCCTTCCATCCAGAATTTAATTTCACTTATTTATCGGTTTTGTCAACCCCATTAGTCCGGTTCCTCATTTTGGCTTCTAATTTTGTTTGATGTCTTTTTTCTAAACATCTGCAGCTACAACTAATTGCTACATTTCTTTTTTGCTATAATTCATGTTACGTTTCTATTTTTCTCAAATTGATGAAATTAATTTATGTTTGAATATCGATATTTCATAGATGTGATTTGTATAAAACAAATTAAACACCAAGTGATCCAGTGGTAGTGCGAGAAATTTTTTTAGTGGGATCGCTAATTGACTATTTTAAAAATACCATTAGCAATTTTCAACATATATCTATAACCACAAAATATAAATTTTGAAGGGAGCACAGATTAGATATTTTAGTGTAAATTATATTTATACAAGCAAAAATAAATATAATTAGAAAGACATCTTAAACTTATTGAAGGGCACTAGACCCCTTACATCCGGTCTTAAAACCAACGCAAATAATTTTTGTTAAGTCTAATGACAATAATGTTGTTAAAATATAAGATTTGTCTAGAGTATCATTTCCTTTTCATTTTGGGAAATTTACATACATACCACACATTTTAAGTATATACGTATCTAACACCCAAATTTTAATATTTATATTTAAAACACTTTAGTGTTAAAACCTAAGCATGAAAATGTATATTTTACTTTTAAAAAGTTTTTAATAGTTATATTTTTGACATAATATCAAATATTTTATTGATTTTATGTAAATATAAAGTTTAGATGTCAGACATGTAAATATATAAAATTAAGTGCTATATACGTAAATGCCCCTTTTTTTCATTTTTTCTATGATGTGTTTATGGCATGCCGTGCTATATCCGCACTGTACTAACTTCTATGTGGTTCTGTACTCTTGATTCCTGCATCGAGAAGTATTTACTGAACATTCATTTATACGCCATTGCAGATGTTCTTCCTCCAGCTCACTTCTGGAAGACTGATGGAATGAGAGATCGATTCGTGGCCATGATCATGGCTTTAATTATGGCAGTCTTCACTGTGGTTCGCTCATTGGCTACCAGTGTGACTACGAAGCTTCCAGAGAGTTCTTCAGTATATCATTACAGCTTTTCTCCTTTTACACCAGATAATATTCCAGAAGAGGAATTAAGCCCTCCTTCCCCAATTCCCGAGTTCACGGAAGCAGACCTTCTTTCTTCTGTTACAAGAAGGCTTGGAGAACTTGAAGTAAAGGTTGACACACTTCAGACGAAGCGAGTTGAGATGCCTTATGAGAAAGAGGAGTTACTTGATGCTGCTGTGCGCCGTGTAGATGCTTTAGAAGCGGAGCTTATTGCTACTAAGAAGGTAAAGTTTTTCGAGGTTTCTCTATCATTTAACGTGAAATCAATTATAATGATATTTTGTTTCGGAGGCTTTTATGATTGTTGTTTACATACCACTCAAATCCTATGTATTTACATACGTAACATCTAAACTTTACCTTTCACATTTATAATATCCAGATTTTCCTCGTAGCACATAAATGTTTAATATCACATAAAAAATACCACTATTTTAACTTTTAAAAAGAAAAATACACCTTTTTTTATGTATATGTATGTATATATGTATGTATGTATGTGTATATGTATGTATGTATATATATATATCTATATATATATATAGATATATATATATATATAAAATGAATGTGCGGAGGCTATTATACGAGCCCCCAACTACCCCTAATGTGCCTAACAATTCGAGTACCACCTTCTTATGACAACTATGTCTGAGGGGATTCGAACCTCCGACCTATAGGTTATTATCCCGTGGATGCCGACCAATATGCCGGGGTACGTGAGAGAGCGGAGGCTATATATATATATATATAAAGAGAGAGAGAGAGATATCCATAAGTGTTGGATTGTTAATAAGTAGAAATTGAGTGGTTTCTCTGTAAATCTTAATCTTCCTTTTTTCCATTTCCTATATAGCATCGAGGAAAGTCTAAAATTTTGATGCACGCAGGCTTTGCATGAAGCTTTAATGAGGCAAGACGAGCTGCTTGCATACGTTGATCAGCAACGAGAGGCTAAATTCAGGGTAAGCTTTGCTCTGCTTCCTTTGCTATTCTCTCGGACTTGCTTTATATATGCCTAAGAACTGTTTGCATTTGTTGCTGTAGAAGAAGAGATTCTGTTTCTAAAGAGCTTGCAGAGGAGCAGGATGTTTTTTATGGCTTTTAGAAGGTTTGCAGCGTGTACAGTGTATTTCTCTTGGCATGGAAGTATAACTAGAGATAAATCGGGAAGAAAGAATGTGGGAAAGCGGAATTTTCTTCTCTCAATCTCCCTTTTTTCTCTGTTTTCATGTGATGCCACGTGATATTTATTTGATGATCACGTGTTATTTTCTCACTGAGGAAATTGTGATCATTCGTTGAGAATTTGATTTTTTTTAAGAAAAAATTGTTTTTTTTTCATGATTCTTCTCTAGTTGGGGGAATATGGTAGATTGCACTAATATGTTTTTTATGATTTGTGCTAGGGGAATATGGTAGATTGCACTAATATGTTTTTTATATGTTTTTTATGATTTGTGCTGAAGGAAAATTATTATTATTTCTTAGGAAAAATGTAGGTGGATAGATTTGTTTGATGAACTTGAACACATAATGATTTCTGAATGTGAGGTGAGTAAAAAATAAGTTGCAGGAAAAGAATTAGAGCATCATTTTTTTTTTCATTTCACTTTAGCTTTTTGTAGAACAATTTCTTTTCGTTGTTCATCTGCTGTGAACGAATTGTGAGATTGGTAGATTAGAGGAAATGAATGTTTGGCTTAAATTGGAGGGTTTTGATACGCTATCAAGAAATTATAATCGACATGAATCTCGAGCTAAATTTTTATGTCAAAAATGTTCAAACTTCGATTAAAAGTTTTCCAAAACTCTTGATTAAAGCAATTCATAGTTAAATTGACCGGGACAAATAGACAAACACCCAATAATAAAAAAAATGGTTTAATTTGAGTCAAATGAAGCTGAGGTCAAGTTGATAAATCACTTTTGCAAGTTTTTAGTATATAATAGAAATGTAAGTAGATTTTAAATTTGATAATTTTATAGTCAAATCGATATCTACAAGACAAACTCATTGAGCTTAAGATCGATCAAATGTTTATCGAATGTCGTTCGATTGAGGGAATTTCTTTGGGTTGTAAAGAGGCCTCTCCTAGTCTATTAATAGAGGCCTATCCTTCTCTTAAGGAGATGGGGGGAGAGGTATTGAACTAGAAGGAGACTAAAGCTTTGAGGAGTTGAAGTCCATCTTTTCGACACTGTAGATCCGTCAAATAACTCCCATTCTTGCAGCTATCACTACTGTCGGCCACTGTTGATCACTGTTTGTCAGCCACTGTGGACAGCTCACATCGACCACCGTTGAGCACTACCCATTGTCAATCGTAGATCATTGTCAGCCTCTCCTGACTCGTAATGAAACCCTTAACAGAATCACATCGTGCACTAAGGAATCCTAGCGTGCATTGTATGGTAATGATGCATCCTATAGAACAAGGCAAACACACATATGGTGCAACGATACCTTCTGAAGGTGTTATAATGCATTGCTTCACTCATATATAGGTGCTTGTGCTAGTTATAATGCATTGCTTCACTCATATATAGGTGCTTAGCGTATTATCAAGTGAGATGTCATTTGGATCACACTTAATATTTGATCACTCACAATATTAACCTAGCACAACTTGTATACACATGTTCTTGTACAGTTACTTGATTCTTAGGGTTGTAATTAAACCAAGTTGATCGTTGGGTTGGCTCGCATTTAGCTCGATAAATGGCTCACGAGCCGAGTTAAATGAGTTAATAAGTCTATCTCAAGACAATCCCGACTTAATTAGTTAGTTCATGAGCTAGCTCGTTTTAAAAAAAAAATATTAATTTAAATACATTTAAATTATATTAAAATTTAAAATTTTATCTCTAATTTATTAAAAACATTTAAAAACTACTTTTAAAATTTTATACTAAAAAATTACTATTATTTATCTTTTAAATGCTCTTTTTATTTATTATTTTATAAAAAAATTACATTAAATTTATATTACTATTTTTAATATTTTACACTAAAAAATTAATGCTATTTATCTTTTAAATGCTCATTTTATTTATTATTTTATAAAAAAAATACATTTAATTAATATTATTTATTTTTGTAATAATAAATAAATTGACTAGTAAAATTAATATCGAGCACGATAATTAGTTAAGCTCAAGTCGAAACCCTCGAATTCACCTAAACTTGTATACACTTTATTTAATATTCTCAATGCTTTTAATGGGTTTGAGTTGAAATATTTTTTGCAATAAAATCTAAAATATCAATTGCACATTAATTTCTACCCATCTTATTATGCATACTCTGCAATTGAGAACGATGGGTTCTTTTAAAAAATTGAGTGGAATCTCAGGGCAATTAACAAATCTTGGAGCATTTTTTGATTGGAAACATTCTTCATATTAATAATCATTTTGAACTTTGATTTCAACAAACTTACTGTCGAACTGACATGCTCGAAGAAACAAATATAATTACACTAAAGTTGGCAAAATGAGAGTCAAATTAAGCTTAGATCAAGCCGTTAAGCCAATTTCTTATGCTTGTAGTGCCCAATTGAAAGTCAAATCTATCCAAATCAGACAGAATTATACCCAAATTGAGCGCCTTGATAAGAAGAATCCAAAAAAACCTAATATCACCCAATTCAACCATCTTTAAGGCATTCAAATGTCCATAAAACATTGTTTGAAATCTCTCTAGGTCGTTCGATGGAGATGTATACATTCTTTCTTTATTTGCAAAGAGGCCTCACCCAAACTACAATTAGAGTCCTACTACCTTCATGATAGGGGGCGAGACCTTTGGCCAGAGGAAGCTCGGAACTTGGAGGAGAAGGAGCCGAGGTCTAGTGTTCCACAATGAAGAGACAACTAACACCACCTACTCCTATAGCCTCTGACCACCATCTACCACTACTCATTCATCACTATAGGTTGCCCCCTGTTGGTTGCAACAAAACCCCTTATGGAATCACGATAGCCATTGAAAAATCATGTCATATGTCGCAAAGTAATGAAATAACCTACGAAGTAGTGCAATGACACATCCCAAAGATGGTACAAATGCACACCCAAAATATAGTGTAACAACAATGCACCATGAAGGCAATGTAACAACATACCCCAAATATAGCGCAAGGATGTGACCTGCATACGACACACAATACACGACACACAACCTACTGCTGAACTTGAAATTTCTCTAGAATCACAAAGCTCTCCCTTCACAAAACACTAATACAGCCTACATGACCAACTATAGTCTATGTGGTTAACAACTCAAAGAAATTCCAACTGCAACATTTGCAACCTTTGTGAGTTATTATAGCTCTTGTAGTTCCCAACTCTAGCGCTGTGACCTACATATGTTATCACATCTCACGCAACTCCAAAATTTGGCCTTTGTGAACTACGAATGTTATCACAACTCATGCATCTCCAAAATCCAGGCTCAGTGGCTTATTAATGTTATCATAGCTCATGCGACACCCAACTCCAACCTTTATAGCACACACGTTATCAAAGTTCATACAAATCACTGCTCTACCCTTAGCGGCATGCGTAGATTAAAACAACTCCCCACAATGACTTATTTGGCCAACTATGGCATATGCGGCTCATAACTTACGCAACTCCCTACTCCAGCCTCTACGACCTACAGATATTGTTATAACTCTCTCCTACGGTCTCTTTGACTAGCGAATGCTCTTGAAGTAACCATCTATGACCCAAATGAACAAATACTACCACGACTCTCAACTATAACCTCTACGATAAACTTAAGCTACTATCTCAGTCTACAACATTCATGGCAGATTACTGCCTCTTTATCAATCTTAGAGATGCCGCCCCCCTCAAAACCTTGAAACAACTATGATCTTTTCAAGGTAAAGCAACATACCTAAGACACTTTATTTCTAATATGTCTGGAAGCTGTCTGCCCTTCTCAGCATTAATTAAAAAGGATGTTAAATTCGAAATTCGTTTGGGAGGAGAAATTCCAGCAGGGCTTTGAGGACGTTAAACAATATTTAATGACACTTTCTGTTTTGAAAGCCCTTATCCCGTGAAAACCTTTGATACTTTATACCGCGGCCTTAGATAACTCTCGCGGAGCCCTATTAGCTCAGGTCAATGACGAGGGTAAGAAAAATACACTCTACTACTTGCGTCGGTGTCTAATACCGATGGACGTAAAGTATCCTTTTATTGAGAACCACTGTTTAGCTTTAATTTTAGCCACCCAAAAGCTCAGGCATTACATGCTTTCTCATATGGTCATCCTTATTTTGAAAGTTAATAGGTGCAACATTTGATGAACTGACCAACACTTTCCAGACATCTAGGAAGGTGGTTTATGATTTTATTACAATTTGATATAACTTTTGCGCCCCTTCGCATTATCAAAAGACAGGTTCAAGCAGATTTTCTTGCAGTGCACCCACTTGCAGCTAGAACCCCTCTCAACGATGATCTACTAAATGAGCAGATACTACAAGTGGAGCTATCCTGTGCCAAACATTGGGAAATGTACTTTGATGGAGCTTCTTCAGCCAGAAAAGATAAAGGATTAGGAATATTCATACCTGACAAAGCAGGAATCTTTATGATTTTTGTCATACAAGATCAAGGAATGTTAAGGTTTTCCTACTATCGGACAGAGCCACACACGAATAATGAGGCAAAATACAAAGCTTTGATCACCATATTAGAATTGGTAATATCGATGGACATAACAGACATTGCCATCTATGGCAACTCACAACTTTTCATTCAACAAGTTACCGGAAAGTGCAACATTTTCAATCTAAGATTAACAGAGTGCCACCAATACACAATGAAGTTATTAGAAAAGATTCCCAGTGTGACACTATATAGGATTCTTGAGGGAGATAAAACCCATGCCGACGATTTAGCAAATCTTGCTAAGAAATTGGCGTGTCTATGACCAAAGGAAAATATGTTGAGATTTTCATACCTATTTTATATTGTTTTTGATGATATTTCACTTTAAAGAAAAGTATTTTTGATGTTTTGTTACAGGAATGATGAAAAGTATTTTTGATGTTTTGTTAGATGTTTTGTTACAGGAATGATGAACTAGGGTCATTGGAGCAAAAAGATGCAAAAAAGAGCGAATTTGGAGCGAAAAGGACCAAAATGTGAAGATTTGAACTAGGGCGTCGACAGCAAGCCCAACGACGCCGACGATGGACTTTTCTAGAGACTCCAGATTTAATTCACTTAGAAGGCCCACCGACGACGCTTGGATGAGGACGAATTTTGGAGGGGTGCTTAGGCAACTCTTGGGAAAACTCATCCCTAACTTTAAAAGAA